GGTATCGTTCAATTAAATGAATACCTACACCGGTGAAAAATTGGAGAGCAATAATTGAAGAAACCTGCATATGTATATACACACGCAAAAAAGGTACAATCGAGCACGCAAAGAAAAGATTTTCTCTCGTGAAAATTCCATTTTACAATAGAAGAAACATTTTATTCTTCATAATAATAGCTGCAGGGAAGAATTTTGTGCTGTTTAAAAAATAATTTTAAGCTTTCTCGCAGACTCGCATCGAGTTTCTTAAAAGTTGATCGCGTTCTGCATAAATTATATACATATTTATAGGAAATACCACCGGTCTCGCTCGATACCTCGTGGGCCCTTTGCATTCGAAAGAAATATTCGAAGGTACTCGTAGAGTACAGGTGGCTAGGATCCGCGAACATAAAACCAATATCGCCGCGCTGTGGTTATCTACATATTGCAGACCCAGCAATATTCTATAAATAATCCATACAACTGTGATGGCGAACGCGGGAGGAAGCTGAAACGCTGCAGCCGTTGTATGTACATACATACACCGTGAAAAAGACATCTGCATCCGCAAATTTCCAGCTCCCAAAAAGTATAATCAGCGACCAAGCCAGAATGAAACTCGCTTTGGTAGCAAATACGAATTGACATTGCAAAACCACTAAAGCCCCATGATTCGTAACTAAATGAACTTTGTTTGTTTGCGATAAATTCTAAAAAGAGAACTGTATTTTCTTCCTTGAGTAAAATTAAACGCTTTTTAACCTAATTATCTCGGTACAATATTCGTGTAGATACATTTCCATTGTGGAGCAATTCGTCGGATAAAGTTGGTGTGTTGTGGATTGCGGTAGCCGTGAAAAGTCAAATATTGAACGGACAAATGTCAATTGTGACAAATGTCAACGCGGAAGCGACGGCGACGGCGACGGCGACGACGACGGCGATGTTGAGAAACATCTTGACCGAAACGCTTTCGACGTCGGTAAATATTGAAGATTTCTTTGAGAACAGGACTTTATCGATGCCAAAAGCGCGGAAAGAGTCACGCTGATTTCGACGAGACCGTGGTATTTGCTTGCTGGTAAATAACTACCGTCTCTCTAGAAAGGAAACCCCGTCGAGAACTAGCTAACGTTCGACCACAAATCTCTCCTCTAATGTTTATGTCAACACGGCCAACCAGAAAGAGCAAAAAAAAAACCGCCAACGACCGATCACGAAAACATCGATCGCAGGTGGACGCTTGCTTATTGGAAGCTCGAGAACGCCTAACCTTTACCCGGTCGATCTCTGTTATCCCGATGCGTAATCGATTCGCAACATCGCCACGATGCATTAAAAGAAAGAAAGAAAGAAAGAAAGAAAGAAAGAAAACTGAACTTACCAGTAGTAGCAGGTAAAACTTGGAGTGCAAGCGATTCCTCGATACACAGTTGCTCACTTCCGGTGTATGGAGACGGAAAATCCTCGAAAAGCAAGAAAAGGGCACTGAATGAACGAGGACTCGCGGAACACAAAACGACTCAGAGTCACAATAAAAACACGTAGGCACTTTGGATTAGACACAGAATTACGTCGTCTCGATTTAAAAAATCCGTGAAAAAAAGTACGGCGCGTCGTCGTAAAACTTGACTCGAGAATCTCTGGCGCGACGCTTTAACGAAACACAAATAGGCGCGCGGAGGGAGAAGGTACGGTACGATACGGAAGACGCGAGGACGACTGACTCTCCTCGATCACCGTGTTTGCGTAACAAAATCCGCTAACGGCAAGGGAAAAGCAGCACAGGAAAGGAGAAACGAGATAAAATAATGTACGGCCAACAGTCAGATTGGCACGCGGTCCGTGAACAAGCTTCGGAGCTTGAAAAGTAGCGACACGTCAAACGGAGCACTTTCCCGTACGAGGCTCTACCGGGTACTGGGGGTTCGAATCAGGCTATCGAACGCACCTCCGCGCTCCGACCAATAAGCGTAGCCGTCGCAGGACCGCTCGACCAATCGGCGTTCGCGACACCGGCATCGCCGTATATATACGCCGAGAGCGAACTGCCGCGCCACGCAGTAATCAAAATCCTTCCGCGACATCGCTTCTATTATGCGCATACACGCTAATTCCGTCAATTATTTTTTTCTTTTTATCGTAATGTAACTACTACCTAAATCGACACCATTCTTTTCCACAAGATAAAAGCAACAAATAAAAGATTTCGAGCTTGAATTTATGGAGATTATCCGTTAAGTTCGTGCCACCTAACCTTTATATTTTTCCCAATATACATATGTTGATAGTTATATTTTATTATATACATACATATGTAGATACTCGTAGGTATGTATAAGAAACAGTCGATTAATCGTAAACGAGAAATAATTGAAATAATCGAATTATCCCTTATTTTCGCTCTGTTCGCTTTGTATTTATTAATTGTTTCTAGCTGCAGCCGCGTAATTGATGACTTTTCGCGAGCCAGTGAACCCCACGTTTCGCGGTATCGCGTTAGAACGAGAAACACAATAGCGAGGCGGTGAACGAGCGCAACAACGATACGATCCCTTGGGCAATAACCAGGATAGGATTGCCCTAACGCATATTAACGCTTCTAATTTATGCGAGTCCATCGACCGTGCGAGATCGGTCAAACCCAGCTGTACTATTCAGCCGTAGTATCGCGGTTGGTCACTCTGCGCAAACTGGCAAGCATGTCACCGTGATCGCGTTGATCAAGAGGTACAAAGGGCCAGGAAACGATCAGAAACACTAACCACAATCTAGGACATTATCGATGGAATCTGAATGACCCCTCGTTAATAACGCCGATTATAGTAATTGCAAACTTTCTATTATCCGCTGATCGATACGCGCGATTAGTTGAAACGTTGTTAATTACTTTATTGAAAGAAACAGACCGTCCTCGAAATAAATATGTTAAGTACTGGAAAAGATATTGTGCTTTAACTAGTCGAAAGGAATTTCATTCTTCGGTCTAATTTCCATGGAAAAGCGCGAACGATTATTCACCTTTTACTCACCTTTTGAATAATCGTTCGTAGAACTTTTCACACTTTGCCGGATTATCATACTTTCCTGCAATAAGAACGGAGCTGTGGCTTCACGCCGTGCCATTTTACCTCGTAGATGCTGCCATTTCTCTTGGCAAACGACCATAAACGTATCATCTCTATAATCATGATAATCATCAGAATAGCAACCGAGCGCATTACAACCGTTTCACAACGCTGCGCTGGTGCACAATTTATGATCTAGAATATTATATGAAAACGAAAAGAAATGGTAGCTGTGACAAATTTCTGGACATATTTCATTGGACAAGGTAGTAAAGTTTCCTTAGAATCGTGATTTCCCATTAACATCTAAACGCATCTAAAGTTTATATCCCTTTGAACATTTTAATAAACTCGATCCATTGATTAATCCTTTTCCTTTACATAATCCCTTCAATCTGCGGCTTACCTCTGAATGCTATTTGAATCGGCAAGTCTTTGAAACACTAGTCCCGATCATAATAAATTCAAATAGTTATCGGGAGCAGACGCGGTGCGATTCTCTATCTAAACGAACTCTTCTCATTACAGTGACGGAAATGTCGATAACCGAAGGCTATTCGTGTGCAATGTCTGTCGAATCGTAATATTCATTTTCGCGTTATAACGTAACTAGTGCGATCCGACAGGTTCATAACAAATCTAACATCGAATCGAAATGGCATCAGTCGTTGCGTTTCTTCCTCTCCTCACTCCATTTCCTACAACAATGCTCATAATTCTTCAGGTGCGTATGTATGTATGTATGTATGTACAGAGACGATAAGTGCTTCGTCCGCAAAAGTTTAACGCGCGACATTAATCCGCACGACTGTGTCAATCTAGGGCAGAGGTGGTTGGTAGGAAAAAAAGGAAGAGTAATCGAGCAGCTTTAGGAGCATTCTTCTAAATCGATGTTCCGCAACTCGGTTCTCGGATGACAGTCACACTATGAATCAACGTGCGCGCCACGCCTTCGTTTCATTCACCCTTCGCGACCGAGCGTGCCATTTGCCGTCGTGAATAAGCGAGACAGAGACAGCCAGAAAAGAGATTGAGACGAGGAAAGAAAACGAGGTAGCAAAGAGACGGAGAGAAAGAGATATGTACAATCACCAGGGGCAGCAGAGATTGCGGTGTCCGTTTTGGCTTTTATTGGAATCAGGTCCGAGACGACTCGACATTAGTAGCGACGGTTACGAGCGATCCGCGAATCGACAAATCCCTGTTCACTCGAAAAATCGATTCAATCGAACGTTTTCTCTCTATATCGCTTACCACTCGTTTCATTTACATGAAACTGGATTTTTAACAATTTCATCAGTTTTACGTGCATATTTTTTTACTTTCATTCTTTTTTAATGAAGAGAAAATACAGGAGCAATCTATATGATCCGGTTGAATGGATCGCGCTGCAAATTCACGAAACCAGGCCGTCATTCGAGCAAAATTAACTGTCCTGTCGAGCTTGGCCACGATTCAAATTGAATTGACTATCGTTATGCATTGAAAGGGCTCTGGACATCGGTGAGGGACAGGAGTAGAGACGATTCATTCGATTTCCGGCTCGAATGGCTTCCACGACCAAAGGCGTGACTAAAAAGTGTTCTACGACTGATAATTACAGATTCGATTCTACAACTAGATATATGTGGGAAACCTATATCCGGAAAATGAAAATATCCAACAATTTACGAATACTCAAATCGAAGCGTTCTGAAAGAAATACGGTAACGAATGAATCGAGATCCGCGATCACGCTTTGTAATCCTCAGTCGAAACATCTAAAGACGTTAAAGGGATTCAAAGAGAAAACATAGCAGCGGCAAACTGAAAATTGGAAAATGAAATGAGAAACTTAAGTTATATACATTGTGAGCTAGATGACGTTGCATCGTGCTAGTTATGAAAGCAATTTACCAGCTGTAACAAACAACAAAGTTTAGTTATCGCGGCTTCCGCGCCGTGAAACGTTCTCTTTGTTCCTTCTGTCTGTTTCTAATCACTTAACGCGTACTCACGACAAACTTATTTAGCATTCCATTTTGTTCATTCGTTTAATTCGTTTAATTCGTTTAATTCGTTTAATTCGTTTAATTCGTAGCTGTTCCCATCTCCTGCCCGCGCCCAGTCGACTTAATTAAACGTCGACGGGCTTGAAAGTCGAAAGGTGACAAACCAAGGGAGAAATCGGAAAACGAAATACGGAATTCTAATCTGTCAGCCTAATACTGCAGGATGTTCCACAGAACAGATGGCATTTAGAAGTTTGCTGCAACTGTAGACATCGAAGGTAAACTAGAAACTAGATTACGAATCCCACGGATAGTTGGATAGAGTAATAGCCACACGCTTCGAATTATCACAGTGGGTACGCATTGTGCCCAATAATATGACCGAATATCTAATTAAAAACTAATCCACCTCGTTTAACTCTTCCTAAAATTATACCCACCTACTACTTACTTACTGTGACGTACTGTGATTGCGTAGAAGATGATGGTCGGAACGAAGACTTGTGTAATGCGTCAAGCGCATCGTACACGAAACAGATAATTAAAATTTGAAGTTTTTACATATGTATTATACATATACATATAGATATAGATAAATGTAAATCGCCCATGGAAACGAATCGAAGCGGGTTTTCGAAGCGAAAGCATAGCGATCGTAAAGCGAAATCAAAACACTGGGAGTAGGTATTCAATCATATCGGGGCGTGCCTTTTATTTGAGATAAGCTATCGAGTTGGCCCGGTTTTGCAGATTTAAAAAAAAAACAAAAAAAAAACAAGAAAACTTTATGGAGCTGACCCACCAAAAAATGTGTTGCATCGACCGAGCAATAATGACGTACGTGACCCCAGCATATCTCTGCAGCCAGATGCACAACGTTCGCGGCGTTATTCTGGTTACGCAAACAGTGGAAATCCGGCGGCTACGGATGTGTTTATCATCGGATTAATGATTCCATTGCCCAAAGCTTTCTGCTTGCCAGCGCAATGATCGAAAATGCTTACCGTACTAAATTTTCTTGCAATCAAAAGTTTTACTTTATTCCAAAACCGACATAATCGTTATTTTTCTATCGGCAAACAATATGAAACAACTCTCGTGAAACGAACGAGAATATATATTGTACAGCTGTTTATATTCTCTGATGTCTGAGGTGTACATATATAATACATAATGTAAATTAACGTATGTAGCATAAAATGGACTTGTTTTCACGAAATCGATCAACAAGGCTACCAAGTAGGCTTTTGTTTTAAACGCGTGGCCCTGCAAGTAAGTATTTATCTATGTAGACGTAAACCGTCGATGCTTCATCGTCAGTTTCATTCATCTCCAAAGTTTGATTTTGGCGGTAACGCAAATACAATTTGTCGTGTTTTACTTGATTAGTTAGTTCTGTCAAGTGTTCTCGAAACTCGTAACTACCGAAAGCGTAAACGTGACATTGAACGTTGCAGCGGGATCTTCTATATGTGTATGTATTACGAGTTCATCTTATGGTGTGTCTGTTTGGAAAAGACATAAAACTATAAAACGCGTAAGATTTCCAACGTTTATCGATCTTTTAGATCGAATAATTCCAGTACTCGAGAAGCTGATAGATTAATTAGGAAACTATCCAGAACCACACTCGTTCTAAGTCGTGTTTTCACTTGCGTAACGTAATAACTCGAGACAGTCGAGAGTGATTCCTGAAACTCCTAGTTCATCCGGAGCCTGCATCCTTTGAAGACACAGAACGCGCGCATACCTCGGAGAAATGAGAAGGTGGAACGTAGAAATCCCCTTGGGAGAGACTAGCCAAGAGCGAAGCAACGCAGAGATTGCTGGCCGGGGTAATGCAATTTAGTAGTTGTGCAGCTGTAACGAGGAGACCATAGCCGTGTTACGCGCGCTTCATACGCTGCTTCTATCTCCGCTATAGCGGTCGTTATACGAGTATAGACGGTCGTACGGTCGTACGGTCGTATGGTCGTTTGGTTGTTCGACTGGTGGTCGGTTGCGCTTGGTCCACGTGTCGTATTTGTACTACAAATCCCTCGTTTGCAACGCGTACCAAGCATCTAATCATCCCTATACTGACGTACCCGCCTCTTTACTCTTTACTCTTTACACCTCTTTTGGTGCACAAGTAAATACCTAAACTTCCCATATACGTATGTATTCGATTTAAACAAGAACAGTAGAACTCGTAAATCATCCTATCAGTTGATGATAACCCAAGTGGTAACTTAGCAGCCGTAAATAACAGCCCTTGTGATCTTGTATAGAGGTTGTTCAATCGAATTGTCACCCTTGAGAGTACAAGAGAGTAAAAAATGATCGATGGGAAGAATACGAAAACTGTCCAACTAGGTACTTGTTCGCCTGCATAAGGGTCATCGATGCTGACGTTTTTTATCAATGATAGCCTTCTGTCATCATCTGACTCATCCTCAGAGTTAACAATAATGGAACGTCAGGTATTTTCGGTCGTGAATTTGATTTCTCTCTAATCAAGCGATACAATACTGAACTGGTATACAACAAGTTGGCATTAACAAGAGAATAAATTATCCTATTCGGCACGAACCCTTCATAACTCACTAGAAAATTAGCATAAGATCAATATTGCTTTTTCACCGCACCACTGACGGACCACCGTCCTTTGGTTCCATGTACCCTGCTCTTACCGACACGTTCACCAGCTAAAGTGTAGAAAATTACAAAGTGTAACAGAAAAAGATCGATCGTTATCGTTGGTTGAAGCTAACGGTATCTAACGCACTCTCTATCACTTTTGTATAAGCAATTCCCATAAATGGTACAATATTTTTGGTGAAAATATTTTCCTTATTATCTATATATAAGTGGCTTATTGCCACTTTTCAGGCGAAAAATAAAAAATGAAGCCGTGCATCTACATGTGTGCAGTAACAATATCGTTGCAGAAGATCCTTTTCAGAAAATCCTTTACAGAGCGGTTCGGAAAGCCAATTTTACGTAACTCGACGAGGACGTTGACCAAATAAAAATACACCCTATCGATAGCACGATAGTTTACGAACGGTTTGCTTCACCGATCGACGTTAGGCGTCAGCTGATATCCGTTTTGCAAACGGAGGTGGCAGAGTGAAGAAAAGAGGAGAAGAAGCACGGTGACGTTTCCAGATTCGCTAGATTCGTAAGAGGCTAGGTAAGCATGGTTTGCTCGCATGGAAGCCGTGTACGTTCTCGTACGTTCGCGTTACTACCATGAAGAGAACGATGAAGAGAACGATGAAGAGAACGATGAAGAGAACGGTGAAGAGAAGAAAAGGGAAGAAGGAAGCGATGGAGGAAAAAGGTGAGAGCGATAGTGTGAAAGAGAGAGAGTACGTTATTTTGTAGTAGACTGTGGTACACGTGACCGGTTGTGCTCTCAGAGTGGAACGCCGAGGTCAATGCTTTCCGTCCAAGGCCAAAGGACCGGCACATCGCGGCAGAGCCAAGACTCGACGACGCGAGTGGGTACTCTCGGATACGAAGAGTACACAGCATCCAACGTTGAAGGCAAGCTACGCTCAACAAGGAGAAACCACCGCACCGATGCGATCCCAGCCCTCCCCCTTTACCTTTTACAACCTGCTTTTTCTCTCCTGCACGGCCAGCTTCTCTCGAGGTTAAACCAGGTTCTCGCTCTCCTCACGAGAATCTACGTTCCAATCCGCCATTCCAATGAATTCGATATCGAACACGGCTAAACATCGGACAACCAACCATCAGTGGAGAAAACGAAAAGTCAGTCCATCCGTCCATTCCATCGTCCTATCGTCCTCGTACAAGAGCAAAGTTTGATAATTATTTCGACAGCTGCTGCACGTACAGCCTTCTTCCTGACGAAATTCCATAAATTCTCAAACAGGCTGGCTGATTAAATATCCGATCAAATGTTGGAAACTCGTTTAATGCTAGCCTTCGGGAGTGAAATTCTGCGGTGGTGGCGGCGGCGATGGCGGTGGCGGCGGCGGTGGCGGTGGCGGTGACGGTGGCGGTGGCGGCGACGGCGACGGCGACGGCGGTGATGCACTCGGTCGAGAGTCAAGCAAACTCGCGCCAACCGATCCGCCATTTTATCCGCTCGTACCGTTACACTTAACTCAGTTTACAGTTTATAATTGAGTCTGAAGAACGAATCGAGAGTTTGCAATCCTGCCTCATTGCCTAGACCGTCGTCTAGACAAATCTTTTGTTAATTCGCTATCAACTACCTTCAACTTTCAGCTGTATCGTTATCACAACCACGTGCTGATATAACGGAGATTATGTAGATGTAGGTAACTCAGGAAAGCGAATAACGCGTAGATCGAGAATCGTTTAATCGTTTTCACTGTATAAAGTGTAAGCAACAACTATTTCCTAATGCGATCGATTTACTTACTTACTTACCACTTTATTGCTTTCTATCCGGCAACGAATGATACAGAGAATCGTGTTTAATTACTTTCAGAAAAGTAATTTCCGTGAAACAGATGAAATTGCGTTGGATGAAATTATTTGACAAGATGAATCTTGACCTCCACCTCTCACAAACAATACAATCTTACGAATCTCTTTTCGAATAAACTTACACAAGCTTGAAACAGTCTCTAACGGAATTAATTTTTAAGGATTTTTCATGAAGAACATCTTCCAGTTTTTACTCGTTAATTAAGAGAAATGTTAAAGAATAAGAACGCTCTTAAACTTTCTTTAATGTTTTCATTATTTCGTTCAGCCCCTCTGTGTATCATTTTGCTAGAAAGTTAGAAGCTCGTTGCAAGCGTTTTCCAAGCGTTTTCCAAGCGTTTTCCAAGCGAAGCCAACGAGATATAGTTTCTGGGTTGGTCGCAAAAACAGGTGCACAAGCATACAGGACGAAAAAACACATGGTAGAGTGAGTTGTATCGAGTAGCGAACAACAATGCGCGTGCAGATCGATTTTTCTGCATCGAAACGCCTATACACTATACACGCGTTCCATTACGTCAACTGACCCAATTTGGGGTGAGCCGATTCGAAGGCAAATACAATGTTCGCGTTGGCCGACGCGGTCATACCTAATAAGGTATGAAGAGGCGTATTCCGAACACGCTGCTCACAAGTGCAAACATCTCAACTACATAGAGTTGTCCTTTGCCGAGAGAGCACAAGGGCTGCTACAGTCTTCGACGACAAGAAAGAACCCGTGCTCAGGCACACTATGTATTATCGAGGGAAACCTAGGAAACGGAGATGTCTCAACTCGCGTCGTAGCATTCGCAACTTTGCCACTACGTGGCTTTCAAGAACTTTCAGCGAAGCAGAAAGAAGCAGAGATAGAGAAAGGGAAGGTAGAACAGCGCTATGATTTGCAGCCTCATGACGCAAAGAATTATTGAATTTAAGCCAGACAAGTGAGACTTCTTTCTCAAAAGATGTGAACAAGATATACATAGGTACATAAGAGATGTAACCCTATTTGAGAAACATCAAATATTATTACATACTACTAGTTTATCAACGTAAAACCTATGCAGATATTGGAAGAAATGCAATAATACAGGGACCTGGGTCAATTGCTGTTCAAATACTGCTGCTACTGCGGAACTAGATTGGGGTGAAGGTAACGCGGATACTTGGATAAAGTGAGCTCGATCATAATACGGCATAGAAAAGTGCGATATGTATTAAGGAACAATAACCTACGATATAAATATTCCATCTCGTTCGAATACAATTCTGAATCCTTTTTTTTCTTTTCTTTAACACCCTCTATTAAAAAATGCAAGCTTGCTCTCCGCGGCGATTCGTTACAATGACTATCACGATCAATCTGAAAGCAGTCCCACGAATGGTACCACTATTCACCGTGTGAAAGATGAAATAACGCAGGAGTCAGGTAGAGCGCGCGGTTTTGAAGCGGAAGCGGCTGCGCAACCGCTTACTTCCGGCCCGGTTTTACGAATCAAAGGAAGAAGGGAGCCGTTTTATCCATTCCGAACCGGTTTCGAATGGCACTGCTTCTATTCACTGTCGTCGACCGTCGTAATTAGATTGCACGATGTTTATTAAATTTATTAAAATCGAAATCGAAATCGAAATCCAGCGAATTTGTAGTCTGTGATACGAAAACAAGCCAGATATAGATCACGCGTGTATCTTCATTCCATTCTGTTCACCACCCTCTCTACGTTATTCGCGAAACTTTCTTATTCAACGAGGTAGCTCCTTTAAACTCCGGCGGCGCTAAATAAAGTCGAGGGACGTTTAATTTACATACATTTTCTCTCTCTCTCCCCGTCTCGTTTCCTTTCTCCCTTCCGTGCCTATAAGAGGCACGACGTCCTTCTCTCGGTGCGGTCTGATACACGATATCTCGCGGCAACCCTCCTCTACACCCACCACCACGATGACGACAACCTCTAACCCTGGTCCAGCAACCCTCTGGTTACGCGTTCATTTTTCTCTCCCCTTCTCACTCTCCCTTCTATTCTATCAATTCCTCTTTCTCTTTCTCTTTCTCATTTACTTCTCTTCCCCTTCCCCTTCCCCTTCCCCTTCCCCTTCCCCTTCCCCTTCCCCTTCTCGTTCCCCTTCCCCTTCCCATTCCAAACCACCCTGCCTGGCTGCTCGACTCCCTCTTTCTTCCCTTCACCGACATGACGTGGGCTGGGCTACTCTCTTCCCTTTCCAACGTCTCTCCGTCTAACCCGAAAACTCGCTGACCTAATTTCCACGAAACTGCATTGCGTGTCCTACCTGCACGGTTGCACCTACTGCATTCGAAACTCCACATCCCTCTTGCCTCTCGATATCCTCTACGTACACTCATCCATCACGTGCACGCGTGTATTCGTATAACGCGTATCATCGCTCCTCTTCCTTCTCCCACGATGTCTTCTTCCTATGTAGGGGATACAAATTCTCTGACATCGCATACCTATCGCAAACGATGATACACGATGATTGGCTTTGAAAACTTTATCCGTATTATAAGCTTTCTTTTCGATCCTGGAAATACATGTAATAAGAGAAATAAAAAATAGCTAGCATGGCTGGTTACATCGAGCAGATCGAGAATAAATAAGGAAAAAGGAAAAAAGGAAAAAAGGAAAAAAGGAAAAAAGAAAGAAAAGTCGGGCGCCGATTTAGACCGATGAGAATCGACGGGTCATGGAATCGGCTGACCGAGCAAAATGCGAATAGCGGTATCGAAGAACGGAGCAGAAGGGCGAAGAGGGTGAACAGTAGGGGGTTTTGATGGAAAAGTTTTATCTTGGATCGCAATAGCATTTCATACTCATTTTGTGGTTCTTTTATCGTAGCCCTGCCGCCGATGTACTGAAGGAACGCTCAAGTTATTACCTACATTTTGCTTCTGTAAGTAAGCAAATATAAATTTCGCGGAAGCGTCGATAAAATTCTGAGAGTTCGTCAGTTTCTTATCGGACAAGTTTACCTTGTAAACTTTACGATACGTGAATTTGCGTTATCTTAGAAGCACCTGTGCAGAGATCTGGCTACTAAATAACACCACTGATGATAAACAAGAATTTGCTTCAAGTCAAAAGTCAAGGGACGAACGCGCGATTTCGTTCGTTCGTCAATGAAAACTCTAATTACGGCTAAGAAGCACAACCACGATTAAATCTCGTTTCAGGCTAGCTTGGTAACAACTTTTAATTGCACTTCTCCGATTCTCTGTCCCGTAAGAAGAGGCTAACGATAAGTAAAAGAGCTAAAAGGTAATCGATTATTCGACTTTCGATCAGAGAAATCAGCTTCGCTTCGTACAAGTCGAGGTCAAAGTGTGTCATGAAAGGTTAACCGCAGTTAAACGAGTTCGCTTTAGAGTTGGACTTTAATTTCAACCCCTGTACATCGCGCGGCCCGTGCAGTTTAATGATCTTACTAACTCGCACCGGCTTTTCCATTATTAGTTTGCTCAGGGGTAAACCCACCTGGCTACGTGGCCGGGATAAAGAGACCGATGAACGGTCTCATTGATCTGATGGATATCCCATGCCAGCCACGATACGCTCAAATTACGAACGCGAGAGACAGATTACTAACCCCTGATCACGCTATTCAATATTCAATTGAAACGGTGTTGGAATTTACAAGCGTCATACCATTCGTTTTTCAACAAGTTATTAAACTTGTCCAAGATAATTCGAACAGGAACAATGATTAAAGAAGAAGTTTTGAACAAAGGTACTTGGGTATACATATATTTAAATAGAAGAACAAGTTCCAAGTCGTAGTCGCTAACGTCTACGTTAGCTCGCCCCAGTGATCCTCTTGTCATAGTTAACAACTATTCCAATGAATACAACATCGTTTCGCCGTAGGGGGACACGTTCGTTAACGAACCGGTTAAATCTGAAGAAATTTTCAGCAGAACCGTATAAACGCCAAAGTATCGCGTTTCATTGACCCTTTCCATCGAAATTTCCACAAATAGTAGATGATTCTAAGGATAAGGATATGTGTAAATTGTAAACAACAATTGCGTTCAGAAGCAAAACTGGACCCGATAGTTCCGGTCAAATAAAGGCCATTCGCGAATGTCAGGGACACGATACGTGCTTGGTATCGTTTCGTCTACTTCCCAATAGTGTCCAACTACAAAACAATCTAACGATGCACCACGCTCGCATGGATCAAAATTGATCCTTAAACCCTTAAACAAAAGCATAGTTGTGCGTGGGAACCGAGCGAACGAAATATGAAACCCAATAACGCTGTAACTTCATTTCTCGCCTCTCGTGCGATTAAAATCAATTTTTCGTAAACGATATCACCGTTGATCAGTTACAACGGTACGTCAGCAATTCTGCTCTCGTATATTCGTATTAACATTTATATTCTATTCCGCATGCATCGTAATTCGCATTCTCGGCCATAACCAGCCCATCTAAAACCAAATCGAGTTAACGTTCAATTTCCACAATAACCCCGCGACTCCGCCTAACTAACTTTATCAGAGGAGCTCAACAACTCGAAACAACTTCTTGCAGCGCGGTTCTTGATCGATGCTATCAATTCAGATATGTTCGCGAACGTCCAGAAAACGATGAGCTGATTTATAACGAGGCAACTTCGACTTCGTACTTGGATGGAAATCGAAGCTACTCGAGGTAACAACCTGAATGAATAGAAGAGAAATAAAAATCAAATCGTCATTGCCGATTAAAAGATTGATAGCTTTCTATTTCTAAATAAAAAAGGTGTTGCGCTTTCAACCAACAAACAAGTGTTGCTCGCTGATGCGTTACAAGTATGTACATACTAGGTAGGTACATATATCTAAATACGTAGATCAAGTGGTAGTCACTGGTTTCAAAGCCTGTCCGCTACCACCGCGAAATTTATGATACGTTTTACGCATTTTCTTCGCTCCTCTCTTCCTGTATTTCTTCTTATCTACCGGCTTACAGTGTAACGCGCCGTCCGTCTCGCGACGACTTTGGTGATATAGTCGGGATTCTCGTTCAACGAATGCAAAGGTATTCAAGGCGGCAGAGTATCATAAAACTTCCTATACCTCTTCAAAGTATCGCGAAACTCATTCGAGTTTATGGAACGCATTCAGGGGGCGTATACCCGCGAGAAATCACCAAGATGCGGCTATATCTGAGGAAAATTCGACGAATTATTTCTGCTACCGCAGAGATAAGTTAATAAAAACGATTGTTTCCTCAACGATTCTGCAATTTATAGTCAACGTTTCTTTGCAAATCTATCAAAATAGTATAAAGAACTTGTGTATTCGATTCAAATTTACCAAAATTTTACTATGTATCTTTTTTCTTTTTTATCAACAAAGGCCTTGTTTAAAATGCATAACTCAATTCAGATTAAATCCTTAACAGAATAAATCCGTGCGTGCATCGAGTGCAAGTCTATTTCAACAGGAAGCTGTAAAACACGTTTAATTGCGAGGCCTTTAGGCAGGTAAGCATCTAGGTCAGAGTGTAAAGTTTAAGGGTTACTGCTGAAATTTCCATACACCCGAGTCCCGAGGCATATAATATCACTGTGTGAATCGAGAAAGCTGTAAGTATGTGCGCATGGATATAAACAGATACATGCGGTACAGAATTATGAATCTAGCTCAACTACAACATCAAATGTTTATCAACGTTTAAATAGCAGACAACTTGTACGTTCCAAAGAACATAAGATTCTCGTATCTATACTTGTCTACCGCAATCATTCATATCGGATCAAGTATTCGGCAATAATTTTTGAAATTGATCATTTGTCTTAACCATTCTCATAACATCGATATAACAAAGTACAAGTAGGTATATGTATCTGGCCTTTGCCATAAACCGCCCCTTTCCCGGGCTTCCATTCGTCCCTGCAGGCAGTCCGGCAGAAAGTGACGATACATAGCAAGGGGGCCCCTTATATATGTATGTGGCCGCCCACCACTTACGTATAAATGCGTACGCGGGAAAATTTGAATTAACATTTACTTTGTTATTCGTACGTTCCAGTTATATACTAAATTTTATAGTATTTAACAATTAAATGTTATACAGATTATCTTTTTTATACGCGTATGTATTTTTATTTGAAATAGTTCAACTATTCAACACCAGAGAGCTGGTGTTTCCATTTGCGGATACGAACGGAAGTTATAGTGCTGCCACCATACAACCTCTTTAGGTTGGATTTCTGTGGTGAACACGTTTCATAAACGGTAAGAGTTTAATATTTTTTACAATTTGCATAATTTAAAACATGTTTCCAGCATTAATGCTATCAAAATATCCTTTTTGCTGGCTTAAGCGTAATTATATAATTTTTCTTGCTGGAAATCTTGTCTAATTGAAAAATTAAACAAAAGGGTTTCAAAAACAATTGCAGCACGGTACGTTGCTAGAAAACACGTCTCTAAACGAAATGTTTGCTTTGAAATTTTCTAGTTACCTTTACATATTTGATTAAAAATAGTAAAATTCAAGGAAATTATTAACACAAAAAATTATTAAGTGAACCGATATTGTCAAGTAAATATCGTAGTATTAGAACAGATGCTCGTATTATAGATACACATATTTTTTTTTTATATTATATTATATTATATTATATCATATTATAAATTAGGCACGCCACGATGCAGATATTTGTGAAAACTTTGACGGGTAAAACCATTACCCTCGAGGTAGAAGCGTCCGATACTATTGAAAATGTGAAAGCAAAAATTCAGGACAAAGAAGGAATCCCACCTGATCAACAACGTCTTATTTTCGCTGGAAAACAATTAGAAGACGGACGTACTCTTTCTGATTATAATATTCAAAAAGGTAAGGTATAATTGTATAGAAACATACTTCGATATGTTATGTATTTTGTACATTGACAATGCTTTATTACTTTGACAGAATCTACTTTGCATCTTGTACTTCGACTTCGTGGTGGTGTTATTGAACCCACCCTTCGTATTCTTGCACAAAAATACAATTGTGACAAGATGATCTGCAGAAAGTGTTATGCCCGTCTTCATCCACGCGCAACTAATTGTCGTAAAAAGAAATGTGGTCATACAAATAACATTCGGCCCAAAAAGAAGCTAAAGTAAACTATACGTTCCAATTTTCTTTGCTTATTTTGCAAATGTATGTGTACACCTTACAATTGATTTTAATAAAACATACATGAAAAAGTAATTTTGCAAATTTCTTTATTGTTTTATTTTACATTAATTATACAATTAATATGAACATATAGATTTCTTAAGTAATCGATGCTGTTTTGTATAAGTTTCATATAAATTAATATCATTGGCATTTGGTATGGAACCACCGGTCTAAATAACAGAATTACAACATATTAAGAAAAGTTTTTATATTCTTTATATGTATAATATGTATAGACTTACCTTGGCTCTTTCAACATATTCCTCGTATATATTTATACTAGATTTTTTTATTACCGGTAACGTAACTACAACAGTTGTAGTTTCTGGAAATGATGCTTGTTGAATTAATTTTGATCGAAGTTTCATGTAATCCGAAGGGTATGTTGCATTGCGTCCAATTAACACAAATCTGTAAAACAAACAAAAAAAAAAACCCAAGTGTTTTACGTAAAAACCGTGTCTCGTAAAATTTGTAAAAGTAAATATCCAATTATCTTTACTTTTTATACAATATCACATCATTTCTCTTAGGATATTCAGGTTGAGTTCCATACACTTCTTTCATAGATGGAAACAAAGTTTCAAAAGATGTGAATTCCGAGCTTTCTTTGGAAGTTGTCAAGTGGCAGTCGTTGATATGCTGATGACTTTCATCGTCATCTGAACTTGAGTCGTCGCTAGAACTATGAATGATGACAATCTATGGAAATTAACTTTCAAACGATTGTACCCATTTTAATTTTGAAATCCAACACTACCTTGCACTCGATGTTGTGCTGCTGGTGCTACTTTGCCCAGTCATAGAAGGATTTTTCATATTTAAATTTTTATTTCCAGTTTCTTCCCTTCTTCTACCTGGTCGTACTCGTACTGCAAATGGACTAAAACTCGTTGTGAAATGTGGCATAAAATCTCTTACGGAATGGCTAATTTGATATGCATAAACTTCAGAAAGTAGAGATAATTCGTATGGTCTACGGAAAACAATTTTCAAATATGAATCAAGTCATGTTTTTTAACTATTCGTACAGTTTTATTTTTATACGAGTGGTACCTATGATAATCGTAGTAAACATCGATCATTTCTTCCATCGAATTTTCTACTTGTATCATTTCCAAACAAGATTTTGTTACTTCGTTCAATGCATAAGGAAGACATTTTAATACATTCGTGTCCCACCATTGAGTTAGGAGTTTTGTTCTCCGATAATATTGACAAGCGGGTTTGTGATGAAGATAATAATCTGTTAAAAGTTCCCAAATAGGTGGTTTCCCTTCCTCGGGTATAAATAAACCTGTGAAAAGTAATTAGTTATAAATATGTAGATTTGATTAAAAGCTTTTACTTACTTCGTACATGTTTGGTTACTAATTTGCTTACCTAAGAATAAATTAATTGTATGTTGTTTTTCTTGATCGCTAAAGGTGTTACTATAATATCTGCTCAGGGTCTGCATAATGTCATTACCTTGACTAGTCCATGGTGCAGTTTTTCTAAATCATAAATGAAATATCTTTTTACAGTTGTTATAAATATATTGTTATTACAACTTTACCTGTAAGTTTTTATTCTGTGCACTAATTGAGAACCACCGTATTGTAATGCTAATGTATCACCATGATCTTCGTATAACTCCTCTAACATTCTTACACAATCCGAATCAAATTCTAATTTAGGAGATTCCAGTACCCCTAAAGCACATAACTGGAATCCCAAGGCACATTTTCCTATCGCAAATTGAGCTGTATTCGTACGATCTAAACAATCTACACAGTTTGTTCTAATAATTCCAGTCTGTAATGTACCTCTTTTACCAAAGCACTGTCTTACTTTATTTTCAATACAATTTAATTCGTTATACTTATTTTCTGTAGAAAGTTTAGAACCAATATTATATTTGTCAGATAAATTTTCATTTATTACATTTCTCGAATTTTGAATATTACATGCACTATTTGATAATATAGAATTTAGATTTGTTTTGTGAGGTTTTTTAATATAATTAGATTGAGAAAGAAACAGATTTCTCTGACTGTAATATGGATTTTGTGACTGAAAAATACTCGTTTTCAAAACGGCATTATATGCTATATTACCTAATCGTGCCATAACATTGACTTTCTTCCTATATAAAATATAAAATATAAAATATAATGTTATACCGTTATACAATTTCTTTCTATACTTCATAATTATAGTCGTACCTTTTATTCATTCGAGCCATATCAAAACTTATATACTGAATATGATGTTCCGGTGGTAGAAATTGATTTAAATATTTAACAGCCATGCTTAGTTCTTCGCTTAGCGTGCTCTCATGTTTTTTCTTCTCACGTTTTTTAACAAGATTAAGAATTATAATTGGAGAACCATACCTCTTTAGTAACTGATTAAAATGTGCACCTGAGATTTTTAAATATATACTTTATAACAAGTGTGAAGACTATTTGATCATTTTTTAAGCTCTTCACCTGCTGTTTCTACATAGGGATCAGCCAAATCACAAGTAATAGTAGGTTTAGGAACCATTTTACTAACATCTTGACTCCAATGTCCAGGGACTGATCCACGCATTTGAACAAAAGTACTAAACCGACCTTTGCTTAAAGAACTTACTCCAGAATCGTGTACAATTTGCTCCGTTTCTACTTCATTAGCTACATCTCCCTGGATTCATAAAACTTTATCTTAATGCTAAATGATTGTTAAAGTGGAAGTCGAAAATGATTGATGTACTTACATCAAAATTTGCGCCACGTTTCAAAAATCTGGTACCTGCATATTTATTACTTCTTCTGGCTATAATAGTTACATACATCGATCGTCCAAAAATACTAACATTTGATTGACCAATAAAACCATGTATAACGTATAAAACCCAGTCACGATATAAATCTTTCTCTACTGGTTTCAACAGATGAGAATTCCACACAAATCGACGATGGGGATTACTTCGTACACCATAATCAACATGTTTTTCTGTATTACTGAAAAATCATTAAATGTAATATTGAACTAAATAACAAACTTTATTGTTTAATTATTACGACGACAAACCTGTTAGTCCGATAATCCTTTTTAAATGACCACATATTGAAAAAGTCTTCTGCATCTTCGGTCTCGTTATTTAAATTCTTGTTATCAGTAGTAGAAATATCAGATTTAATATGTTTCGGCGGAGTCATATTACTTTGTAATGTATGCGTTAAGTCATACGAATAACTGAAGTAAAAGTTACTACTAAGATCTATACTTTGAAACATTTTTACATATCTTTGTTCGTCCGGATGAAAAACACGAACATTGTCGTTTGGAATATAAATCATTGAAGTATCTTCTATTTTATATATTGTATGATGACCAATTACAGCTACTTTACGTCGTTTCGTGACTAATATTATATAATATCCTTCCAAAAAACGTACAAACCCTACCAAAAAGGATATTTAACTATTATATTAAGATACTTCCATCAAAATCAGTAAACCGTAATATATTTTATATGTACTTAATATGCTTGAAACTTGTATAAAATATTTTCATTAACATTTAATGAATCGTGAAAATATGTAACATGCTTATCTCCATAATTAGGTAAAATGACATGCAAATATGATGAAAATTACATCATGCTAAAAACATACGCATCCTGTAATGTTTTACGCATGATATGTTTATATTTGATGTAATATCTAACATTGAATCCTATTCGATATGGTATTTCCAATTTAATAACTTAGCACAGAGATGTCACAGAGAATGACCAATGACATATTCAAGCCATATTACTATTACATTTACTATGTTAATCTTGTTTAATCTTTAATAATATAGTATTGTTTAATTATAGTTACTATTACAAGTTGAAAAATCCTTAATAAATTGTTTTAATTGCAAATATAGAATATTTAATTTTGAATATTAAACTCGATGGTCCTTACCAAGAAGACCAAAAGCTGGTACTAGTCGAGGAAAAGTATCTCTCTGCCACATCGTTTTCCAGGTGAATTTAGTTTGAGTTGGTTTGTGCAATGGTTTTTGATATTTTTGGTGTTCAGATGCTTCTGATACACCACTGTCAGATGTAGGTTCTTTGTAAGTGTTGCCTTTGTTAGCAAGCAAATATAAGGATACTAAGTTTTGTATAAGGTTTAGCAATAAAATTTTGTGCTTAGTATTAAACATGCAATTAGGAAGTAAAAAAACATGCAGAACTGATAAAATTCAATTATATCTCTAACAGCACTATATGATAATAAAAAATATATATATATATATATGTGTGTTGTATCATAACAGTATGCGTACAATTATACACATATACTTATTCATGATTATACAAAAATTTGAATATGTCATATATTATTATAGAGAAACATCTACATGCATTTATAGTTCATAATATTAAAAATTTTAAGAAACGTAAATTAACATTACTTACCAACAATACCAAAAGCTGAAACAATTCTTGCAACTCCACCAACATTGTTTCTTTGTCCAGCTCGGGTACGGTTGCCCATATCTATCATATTTACAAGATCTTTTATCTCATCCTGAGTATATTCTCGTTTATCATCTACAACAACTAATTCTTTCGGTTCCATTCGATCAATTTTTAACACTCGGAACCGTGTTAAAGTATTGTTTGAACCCATCAAATAAAATCTCTGCAACAGAATTGTACAATTAATTGTTTTCAAAACTATGTATTTAACCGCTTCGTTAATTCATTATGATCTTACAGATTTCGTTTCATAAAGTGCGATTTTTTGAATTGAAGAAATAATTGGATGAAAAACCACAGTTGGAACTATATTTTCATCCATTTTGAAATAATACAATTTCAAATACTACTTGTATGTAATAAGTACATATTTACATACATAATATTTTATTTGTATATTTTTACAACTGACAATTACGTCGAAACTTGTCACTTGTCACCATCCTAGATCCATCCACCTATTTATAATTTATATAGATCGTAGAGAGCGCGCACGAAAACGCTAGCAAAAAGAAAGTTTCAAGCTACGTCGATATTTCAGAACATGAAAATGGTCACATCTATTCTAATACCTTGTCTGTGGTTTTGTCATACTGTCCTCCGACGTTTTAATTTTTTGTCGTGTACTTTTTTGTACTTTTAAATGTACATTCGAATTAAAAAAATATAAATTATACAGAGGTAGTCAACGCTCATCAATTAGCTTCAACTTTCATCAATTCGATCAGGTGAGAATCAGCAGTTTTTTCGAATTTTTTAAATCATCGTAAACAAAATAAGTGATTTAAAATTTAAAGAGTCTGGCGTGACGGGGTAGTGGGGGTGGTATACGATTGCGCTTGTCTGCATATTATTACTTATAAGTAAGTTATGCCCAAAGTAGTAAATATAATTTCGATCGTAATCTTTAGTTGTCATTAGGATAAAAATTACGAGTTGATAATGGGTAATGCGGGAAGTAATCAACCGGTTGGACATCATCATAGTAGCAGCACTAGCAGAGAACATCGTCATATCAAAGAACATCCTCCACCTTCACCAGGAAAAGAAGGCCAAGCTTTTGTCTTTGATAAAAAACCAAGTCAAAAATTAGTTTTTCAATCCTCTCATGAGGAAGAAGAACCCTATTTTGCAAAGGTACTTTACAAAGGTCGACTGAATTGATTGAAAATTTCCAAGAAAATATTTCTACTTGAAAAACGTATCGTGTTTGTTATCTACAGACAACTGCTCAGCATGACGGAGAAGATTTTGGTTCTCAACGTCCACGTTCCAATACTGTATCGGAAGGGACCAAAGTAGCAGATAGCAAAGTATTACCGACAGTTTTCAAATGGGAAGGGGGTGGTAAACAGGTATATATCAGTGGAACATTTACCGGATGGAAAACATTGCCAATGGTTAAAAGCCATGGTGATTTTGTAACAATCATTGACTTACCAGAGGGAGAACATCAATATAAGTTTTTTGTTGATGGTGAATGGAGACACGATCCAGATATAGTAAGTTTTTTTAATTATAACCAGTATAAAAATGTTGTAGGATCGTTTTTTCAACATTTCCTTTTTATAGAAAATTGTTGATAACGGTATGGGTTCTAAGAATAATTTAGTATCTGTAAGGAAATCTGACTTTGAAGTTTTCCAAGCGCTAGCAAAAGATAGCGAAGGTGTTATTAGTAGTGCTCAAACAGAATATGGGCAAGAAATTCCTCCTCACAAGCCTTGGGAGAAAGTAGCAGGTCCTCCAATATTACCACCACACTTACTACAAGTTATCCTTAATAAGGATACCCCTTTATCCGTAAGTAAACAAATAAAAAATATGAGTAAAGTTCTTGATTCATTAAAAAATTACACAATTACAGTGTGAACCGACGCTTCTACCAGAACCAAATCACGTTATGTTAAATCATTTATATGCCTTAAGTATTAAAGATAGTGTTATGGTTTTGTCTGCGACGCATCGTTATCGTAAAAAGTACGTTACCACTTTACTGTATAAACCAATTTGAAGCTCCTAAGTCATTCCCGATATTATCGGTAATCGTTAGTTACATCGAATTAAAGCATATATATATTGTAGGTAAGGTGAAGTATTGACTATTGAAAAAAAAAAAAAAAAAAAAAACATTTGGAAATTGGCAGTTGTTGTAAACAATTTGTTGTATTTGAAATGTAAAATACTGTAATTATTATTTATTAAAATGAAATATTTTGCATTAGATATCTTCCATATAATGAGTAACTTTTATTATATATATATATATATATATATATATATATATATGTATGTATATATTTAAACCATGTTATCCGTTATTTCTGCTAATTTGGCATATGGCGGTTCGGATCGTGTTCTAAGAAAGTATGTTCCAGTAGCCGTTTGTCTAACATGCTCTCCCATTAACACAGTTTTAGTCTGGTCACAACTGCCTTGCATAAATTGATCCCAAGTATCGCATTTATGTGCCGTAAATCCTACTTTAGAGCCAATACTTTCACTGAAATACACATAGGCTCGACCATGACTACACGATTCTGTATAGAAAAAAAAAGTCGTGTATGAGTACTTGTTGAAATATCGTACCAATTACAATATTACCTATTACTTCCGGTAAACAACAACAACCAGGTTGAACTGCTGTTCCTGCGTTTGGATAGAAATCCACGCTACCTAAAGGTTGCAAAAACCCTAACACTCCACCACAGGAATGAATAATATCGACAAACGCCGCGTCTGTAGAATCTAATCGAGTTTTATCGGATGTAAGTAAATGAAATCCAGGTAAAGCAGGATCCAAACCGGTTATTCTTCCTAACTTACCGGAAGTTATCGAACTTCCGGCATTTCCAGCTACGTGGGCTCCAAGTGAATGACCTTAATAATATACAATAACAGTTACGATATAACGTTTAATCGTATCTTTAACTAATTACAGCATTAATCCGTACCAAGAAAATGAATATCTTTAGTTTTGACACCAGTTTCAACGACTAAAAAGTCAATAAATTCAGCGGCCGTTTTTCCTACTCTTTCTGTATTACGCATTGGTCCCAGATAAAACGTGCTCGCAGCCAGAGGTTGCCAGTCAACCAAAATGACATTATAATCATTGTATTTTAAATATTCTATGTCATTATAACAGGCATTAAAATGTGCTTTTTGTTTAACATAAAATTTCTAAGAAATTATAACAAAGTTTCAATACCTTCTTTCATGTTGAGAAGACCAGTGCTCATTGCGCTCGACTTCCATCCGTGTGTTATCAATTTTGTTTTTCGAGAGGGATTAAAATCAGATTTCGATAGTCCCATAGTATCGTTCGTATGCAATTGGGTACCATTTTCTGGACCAGATCTTCAAGCACATTGATAATTTTAAGAAATTTCACAAGATATTCTTTTTTTTTCCAAGTATTATGTAATTATAAAATGATTGATTACCGAGTGTAAAGGATATAAGAGATTTGCGATTCGTCAAAAATTCCTCGTATATCTTCTTCGGTTTCTTTTAATACTGCTACTTGTGGTTGATCGTTTCCATCAGGCATAAAAATCCAGTCTTCTCCATATCCATCGTATCTTTCTTGTAAACCGCTATTCCACGCTTGACAGTAATTACATAAAACAATAAATAGTACTGTACAAATTTCCAATGAGTTTATTACAGACATTTTTCCGTTTGTAAAGGCCACAAACAAGCGTTACAGTATTTAAAAACAATGCTAAAAAATAATTACAAAATTATTTAGACACGTGAATTAAATCGTCAATTTCTCTTAATTGGATGGCGAAAACTGCAAGGCAGAACCTTCTTATAAACCCTGACAATATCGTAACGAACATTGCTGGAGAGATTCACGCGACGGCCCAGTTTACCCTATTTTATCTTTAACACAGGGGTATCGTGTTTGCGGAAATACTATCAAGTGGTTACCCGACAGTGCTTTAAATATTATAATTATATTCAAAGAGGTGCAGGTTTTTGCCCAATTAACTGTCGGATATGCTATGTATTTTCGTATCACGTAAAAGTAAATAGTAACACATACATAATATATATTGTGAAACAAGACTATTACTTTTTGCGCTGAAGACAAGAAAACTTTTTGCATAAAGAAGACAACGAAAACAGCAAATCGAATAGACATGATAAAATAATTTGTTATATCAACATAAAATATATTATCACACATTCTTACATACTTTCTGTTTATGTAAATTATAACTGCCGACTTCTTTTTCCATGTTACAACTAACTTAATTTAATATTTACTGTATACATTAAAATTTAGGATTATTTTAATATCACTTGTATATACAGTCGTCATAATTTTATCATAAACTTAAACTAACTTTCTGAAGTTCAATCATCGTACGTGATTATCAAAAATACGGTAGACATTTCATTATACCATCTTGTTCTCTTATTATTAGAAGGTTCTGAAAAAGTCGTGTAACAAGTGATATAATTTTATTACCATAATAACATTGCATTAAGTCCAACGTAAAAGTAAAACTCACCGTTTGGTATCCTATTTGTTCCGAATTCACCATCGCCGAAACAACCTGCTAATGGTACTTTTGGAAATAATTTTTTAAATATAGATGATTCCACGTTACATTCCTGAAACATGTTTTCACCACGCGCACAACACGCAAACATCAATCCTATGGAATGTTTCTTTAAACAAATACGATTTCTAAATAATTTCAATCGCTGCTCAACTTTCTCTTTAGTATTATGATTTCTATCAACAATTAAAGACCACGTGTCGATTGGCCCAACCAAAGCAACAGCAGTGCAGAATGCAAATTGTGTACACTGATCGTTAGGTGTCTCGCTATCTTTTGAATTGCATACAAATCCACACCTGACTACTCCTCCCCATACTGAAAGTTCATCTTCTTTATAACTATATAAAAAAAAAAAAAAGAAGAAAAATGCATATCTCATTTATTATGTACTTAAGATATGACTATAACATCAAATACTATTACATATAAAATTTTACCATTTTTTTAGAGAGTTTGCAATTTCTATTGCCGAACTGCGTCCTTGCGATCTATCACAAAATAGTAGTAAACATTTAGATGTATTAGTGTCCTTTCCAGCTGTGTCAAGAACACTTTTTATTTCTTCAATATATTTTTTCTTAGATTCTGATATACCATTTATTTTAAATAATATATTATCTATAAATGTAACTGTTTTAACCGTTACATTAGGTAAATCGGGTAAAAATACACCTAAAATATTTTCTACATTTTCCTGCATTTCCTTATCATTGATAACAATACCATATGTAGTTGTCAATGTTACAGTGTGACAATTTGATGGAAGAATGTTACAATGACAATCTTAACAAAAACAAAATGTATGCGTTAGAAACAGGATATTACATACAATTTTAACATATTTAAGAAATAAAAAAGCAAGAGATACCTTTCTTTCTGAAACGAGATAATGGAGGTGTAAAAAACAATCCTAATGCTGGTTTTATTCTCAATTTTTTAAATATTTCGACTTTGACATACTCCTCGTCCACTTCTTCATTGGATGATGTACAACTTTTTATCAAACATATAGGACCCCTAGTTCGTTTTTCACTATTTGCTGCCTCAAGCCAGGATCTGTAATATAAACCCCTACATACTAGCAGATTTTACGAAGCTTCTACGAAAACGGGCCAGGAAATCTCTTACGAGAGGTTAATAAAAACATGAGCTTTACTTTCATTTAATATACCAAAACAATGAAAACAGTTAATGAGTTCGCACCTGCAAACCATCGAAGCACTCGCTAATTCTTCTGCATTTAAATATTCAAATATAATTCTTAAAACGTCATAGGTTAAGTACTGGTGACAACATTTGTCGTTAACTTTTTCATTTTCTTCAACATTCAATTTATTGTCATTATTTCCAGAAATTTTCTTCCGCGGACAATCCTCCATTTTTACGACTGTCCAAATTCAACAAGGATAATAGGTTGTCTTTTATGATATTTTATCGCAAGGAACAATTCCAATTGCTACCTGTTATTTATCTTGTCCAGTTTGCTTATGTCATGAACCAGGGTAAGAAATAGATTACTACTGCGTGTAATCTTTTTTTCGTTGTTTTAACTTTTCTTTAATTTTCTGTTGTAATCACTAGCAACAACAATTAAAGATCATCGTCTTGAAAAATGAATTATTTGAAAACCGAAATTTCAAAATTCATAGAAACTCTACCAAGAGGTAGCTGCACTGTTAAACTTCGTAAGAAAAAAAAATAATGTGCATGCGTGGTAAATGCAGCAGTTAGAGTATATCCAAGCGATGACATATATACGATAGATATATTACGGATTGTAAAGAATTCGAATGGAAATATATACATATCTATATATATTTTTAATTAAAAGTTCGATTTTATAGAAATCTAATGGAGATTGATAATTGTAAAGGAATACTTGTATCAGAAAACAATAGCAATGTTTGCCGCGTTTGTCTTACAACAAATCAAAATAACCAATGCATTTTCGATATTAAACAAAGTAATTCAAATAATATAAAGATAATTAATTTGTTAGAGAAACTTCGTTTGTGCAGTGGTCTGGAGGTCAGTCTAACTTTAATCTTTCCCTTATGTATTGTCATTTGATTAACTGATATGATTTTGTGATCAGATATTGGAAAACGATGGTTTACCTAATACTGTTTGCATGAAATGTATAATGAAAATTAATGATGCTCATGAATTAAGAAAACAATGTCAGCAATCTGATACTCGATTACGAGAATTATATGGAAAATTAAAAAAAGAATATGATATCGATAGATGTAAAATTACTAAAGTAAGTATTTGTATTTATACATATACAAAAAATGAATACATAAATACAAAGTTGTAACAATTTTATTTTATTTACTAGGATAAATGGTGCCAAACAGATTATTCTATTGCTTCTGATTTTGTTAAAGATGAAAATTGTACATCTGCGATAGATCATGATTCTTTGTCAACTTTAAATCTGAATTCAAATGTCAAACCTACAGAAGAAAATAAAATAAATAATGAATCGAACCGTGTAAAACAGGATGAATTTAATAATTGCTTAAATAAACAAACTACTCGTGTTAAATCAAAAGCAGAATCTGAAAAACATGTCACTGGGAGGGATGCTTACCGAACAAGGAGAATGACAATGTTTAAAAGAGTGACATCTATAGAAAATTTAAAAAATCATAAGGAAAGACAAAGGCAATACATAAAAAAGAACGCAAACTTAAAATGGGATACTTCAGAAAATGATCATTCAACGAATGCTATAGATGCAAGTTTGTTAAAGTTATATGTTTGTACTAAATGCGGTAGACATTATTCTAGTAAAAAATCGTTAGATAGACACTTAATAACTCATCATGAGAAAACATTCACGTGTAATAAATGTAACAAACACTTTTTTCATTTAGACAAATTAGTAGAACATAGCAAATTGCACGAGATAAAAGAAAAACCTAAACCAGTATTATGTAGGATATGTAATAAAAACTTTAGAAAAACTGATACTATGGTAAGACATTTAAATGTTCATAAAAGAGCTAATCCAAAAGAAGTTCTTTCTATTCTAAAAGAAATCAGAGACAGAAGAAAATTAGAGAGTATCAGTGAATCCGAGAAAACAGTTATTCAAGTTAAAAATAATGATGATAAAAAGGAAACAGACGAAAAGTCCGTGTCTAGGTATAATAGTATGATTTCAGACAAACAAGAAACTTGCACATTACAGACTGATTGTAAAAGTCCTACTTCTGCCTTATTATTTTTAGATGTAAATGCTAGTGAAAATGATTCTTTTGATAATAATATGGTTTATAAATGTAAGTACTGTACTAAACGTTATACGACCGAGAAATCACTTCAAAGACATTTACTCGTTCATGCCGACAAAAAATTTGTTTGTAACGTATGTAATATGAAATTTTATCGTGAAGATAGATTACAAAGTCATAAAAATCGATATGGTCATGATGAAAATAAAATATCTCCTGAAGTACAAAAACCGTCTGATGAGAAATCGACTATTAAATTAATAAACAGCTGGATACGAGAAGAGCTCGACTCGGACAATGAAGAAAAAGGCTTTCCTTGTAAAATTTGTGGAAAATCGTATGACACAAAAAAGTCTTTATCAAAACATCAACTAAGTACACACAATTCAGAAGAAGAAGGTTGTGCATCCTGTGGTGAAATGTGTAATTGCGATGAAAAAGATAAAGAACAGAAAGCAAATGAGGGATTAAAACCATATAAATGCAGTGAATGTAATAAATCCTTTGACAAGGAAGATAAACTGCAAAAGCATATAATGAATCACGAACGCCCTAAAGAGCAGCAAGACGTGGATTTCAAACGATTTTTATGTCATATATGTAGTAAGACCTTTAGACAAAATACAGGTCTTATGTTTCATATGAGAACGCATACCGGCTATAAACCTCACGTTTGTAAGTACTGCGGAAGAGGTTTTGCATCGAATTCAAATCGGATCAATCACGAAAGAACTCATACAGGTGACAGACCATTTGTCTGTCATTTTTGCAGTGCTGCTTTTGCTAAATCCTGTACTCTTAAAGCACATATTACAACTCATACTGGAGAAGCAAATTATCATTGCAAAACTTGTGGTAAGTCATTTAGGCGATTAAAATACTTGAAGGAGCATAGATTTACTCATACAGGAGAAAAACCATATGCGTGTAAGATCTGCGGAACGGCGTATAGTCATTCTGGAAGTTTATTCGTACATGAGAAAAAATGTAAAGCACAGTTTAATAGCTACCAGTCTAATTCCGCTCAAAGTACGGAATCTTATTGTCACTCTGAAACATCTTCGCCACGTGTAACTCCTATCATTACAATTTTACCTGAAGTTCATTTGAATGTTTCTGATGAGCATGTTCTGAGCACAGAACATAGCAAAACTTACATAGATAATAATCAGATGATAACTTCTCAGAATATCAACAATTTAAATACTGATAATCCATCTGATCTGCATGGTCATTCAAATTCGGATAGTCCCGATGTTTCTTTAACTATTAAAAGTTTCGCCTTGATCAGGCAAATGTTTCAATCGTAAATCGGCTTAAACCAATGATTAAATTTCAAATTAAAATGTTTCTGTGATAAATTTTAATAAAAATAAAATGACAAAAAATATGTACAATATTCTTTTACTTGATTGTAAAATTAAATCGCAACTGAAAAGACACAATTCTGACTCCTTTTGATTCTATTTTTTAGAAATCAACGCAAGACCGAAAAATGATTAAAGTAATTGCTTGATGTGTTTGTATTTAAAAAAAACCGCCAAAAATTAAGTATTTTTAAAAATACAAGTTTGTCAAACAACAAATTTTCACTGACTTCTAAAAAATCAAAGAGAGTCAAAATTGTGTTTATTTAGTTGTGAGTGCAAAGTGTAGTAGAAAAGTAGAATATCTAATTTTACCTGGGAATTTCCGAGGCCCCCAAAATCATGATCCCTCGTGAACAAAGGTATGTCCACTCTTTTTAAATCTATAGTCACTGTATGTATGTATGTATGTATGTATGTATGTATACCGTAGTTCACCAGAGTCCATAACTGCAAAAAGACCAGTTTTCGTTCTTCGCGCTTCTCCAGTGCGCATCTTCGCCCTGATTGGCGATACTCCCAAACAAAGTGGAAAGCGATTAGCAGAGAGCTCGCTGCGTTCCCCCACCATCTTCCAACCTGCGCGTCGCAGTTATGGACTCTGGTGAACTGTGGTATAGATTGTATGTTAATATGTTAATTTATGAACAATTTATGTTGATCGATTGATCGCTTTTCTATTCATAATGATCTATTCTATACAGAACATTAACATATCATTTATGACATCATTAGTTAATGAAAATATAATTATTTCAGTGTAAAGGAACCATAACGCGTAATCATTAGTTCGTCTTGAATATGGCGAGTTTACACAAGCAGTGACTGTATGTATTGAGTATTTATAATATATGTACGTATAGGAATCATGGTTGAAAAATTTTATCTCATCAATGAACCCCTTCCCTGTCTCATGAAAATAAAAAAAATAATAAAAATAAGAAAAAAATATGAAACAATAATAATTTCTTAGTTAACACGTGTACTGAAAATGATATTCCCAAGTCGTAAATCACTGCAGTTCGAATTCATTAAATCACTCGGTATTGTATGTATGTACCTGCAAACAGTTATATTTACAATGGCGTTCAGTTTGGCTGCTTTTTCGTACATCGTGGCTTTAATTGTAGATGCTTTTTTAATATTCTTTGCAATATTTCATGTACGTGTCATTCACAAATGACTATTTTTGACACAAAATATTAACTAAAAACGTCAATATGAATGGTCATTGCAAATTATTTCGAACCATAGTGTTTTTAATTTATATAGTAGTTCATAATTAACGACGTTAAATTTTTCAGGTTATTGCGTTCGATGAATTAAAGACTGGCTATAAAAATCCCATCGAACAATGTAACAGTTTAAATCCGGTGAGACTACAAATGTTTCTATAACCTTAATTATTTAAAATTCATAATGACATTTATATTAATATTTCAGCTGGTTATTCCAGAATATGGATTGCACATTTTAATTAACATATTATTTTTAATAAGTGGACAGTGGTTTTCATTACTTTTAAATGTTCCATTAATAGCGTATCATTTATGGCAATATTTTCATAGACCTGTTATGTCTAAACCAGGTCTTTATGATCCTACAAGTATAATGAATGCTCAGGTTCTAATGATTCACCAAAGAGAAGGATGGATTAAACTAGCATTTTACCTTTTATCATTTTTTTATTATTTATACGGGTAAGTTTTAAAAAATTTATGTATCTTGATATATTTTTATATTAAATTTCACATTAAAAGTAATGTTTATAATCACTAATGTTTCAAAACAAATTTTATGAATTTCTGTTTTGTTTCAGTATGATCAGTTCATTAATTCATTGAAAAAGGTATTCCTTATTGTGTTTTCAATAACTTTCTGCATTTTTTTTTTTAATATGTATAAAGTCAGTGTCTATGAATAAGTGGAAGGATATTTAATATGTTAAAATGTTAAGATTTTTAAAAATAAAGCTTAATGTTTGGATACCAATCTTTTCTATTTTATTGTAAGTTATTACAACATAACTATTTATAATAGTTGATATATATATACATATATACACACACACATGTACTTACATACACCCACAGATATGTACATATATATTTTTTAATAAAAATTGTATTATTAAGATTTAATTTAAACTCATTCAACAAATAGCCTTTAATTTCTATAATCATTTTTCTTCACATCAAATTATCTGACGTCAAACTTGAAGCAAAAGTGGATTAGACGAATAGTGGGAAGCTCCTTCCCCTAATTTTCTCCTTAACCGAGAAAAGTCGTCCCTGTGTGCGGTTGTACTTACGTATATATATACTATATATATATATATATATATATGCATACGTGTCATGTTGAATCGATTTTAACCTCAATTCTTATTGCCAATAAATACAATGTTTTTTGAAAACACGTAAAGTACTTCTTTATGTAGCAATTCGCATTTATATAGAATATTGTTGTGTTAAAGACGATAATATTTATTACGTAAAAATGCCAACTATTAGTATTAAACGTGATTTATTATTCATAGTCCTGAATAAAACGTATTGTAAGTTAAGATTATTCAATGAAAATTTTAATTGCTTTATAATTAAACATGTTTAAATAACATTAATTCAGTTTTTTAATTAATTCCAATTAGTAGATAGTTTTTTCAAGTTCCAGGATTTTTTTTTTTAATCTATTGTAATATAATTTTAGCGGATGAGGAGTTCCAAGATTTGTGTTTCAAATTTGGTCTAGAATTGGATGAAGTGGTATGATATTATGAGTTAATGTTATGCAACATAAATCATTAATATAAAATATTTTATTATTTAGTTTTATATGTATAAATAATGTTAAATCTTAATGTTTAGACAACAGAGAAGCAAACAATAATAAAGGAACAAGGTTTAGTTGAAAATACAGACATGTCAGAGGAAGTTATCTATAAAATTGATATCCCAGCAAATAGATATGATTTATTATGTTTAGAGGGTTTAAGTATTGGACTTCTTATATTCTTAAATAAGTACGTATATATTAATTATGTCATATATGCATTTATATAAATCCATGTTCATAAATAATTATTATAAGTTTTTTTTTAAATAGCTATTAATTATATATTCAGTAAGTTATTAATCTTTAACTGATTCTTGATAATACAATGACAGGACATAGTACAGTGATTGATTAAATTCAACTTTATAGAATTTGTATAATATTTATATATATATATATTTTAATATTTTCTAACATAGGCTAGATATACCAAAATACACAGCAATATCACCAAGTACTGGCCCACAAAAAATCATTATGTCAGAGCAGGTATATAATTTAAATAAGCACTAAAATTAAAGTTGATTATGACAGTAAAAGAAGTTAAAATATATAACATTCGAGAACAATATGTTTGTATTTCAGTGTTTAAAAATAAGAGGACATATTGTTGCAGCTGTTTTACGCGATATTAAATTTACAAAAGATTCCTATAATAGCTTCATTGATCTGCAAGACAAATTACATCAAAATATAGGTAGAAAGCGAAGTTTAGTATCCATTGGTACTCACGATCTGGATACCGTTAAGGGACCATTTTTATATGATGCGAAATCACCAAGCGATATTTCTTTTAAACCTCTGAATCAAGACAAGGAGTATACAGGAGAAGCAATTATGAATTTGTATGCTGTAGGTGTATTTCGATTCTAATATACTGTATATTTATTTTAAACGAAATTTTATATTAACAATTATTTTACAGAATCATGCACAGTTAAAACAATATTTACACATCATAAAAAACAGCCCAGTTTATCCCGTAATAGAGGATAGCAATGGGATTATTTTATCTCTCCCACCAATTATTAACGGAGATCATTCAAAAATTACACTCGATACTAAAAATGTATTGATCGAATGTACTGCTACAGATCTTACAAAGGTACGTGTAACATCAGTTTATTTACTAGATAAGAAAAGAAAAAAAAGAAAAAATAAGTAAAACTGAAATTTAAAAAATCGACAGGCAAAGATAGTATTGGATACTATAGTTTGTGCTTTTAGTCGATATTGTAAAATAAAATACACGGTAGAGACAGTAGAAATTGTATATCCTAACAAGAAAATATACCATTATCCGGAATTTAACTATCGTATTGAGGAAATTGATTGTAAAAAAGCAATAGAATATATCGGTATAAAACAAACACCAGAAGAAATAGCGGAATTACTTTCTCGAATGTCGTTGAAAACATTTGTTAAAAGAAATAATAAATTAGACGTTGAAGTGCCTCCTACTAGACACGATGTGATACATGCATGTGATATTTACGAAGATATTGCTATAGCGTATGGATATAATAACATTAAAAAAACTATTCCATATTTATCTACAATTGCAGAAGAGGTAAGAACAAATATCACCGATTGTTTAAATTTAAAAAATTTTAAATTAAAATTTGGTTATAATATTTTTATCTTGTATTTTAAACTTAGTTTCCACTAAACAAATTATCCGATCAGCTGCGTATAGAATTAGCTTGTGCTGGATTTACAGAAGCCTTAACTTTCTCATTGGTATGTAAAAGTATTGACAATATAATTTTGTTGATTGCGTGAAGTAATCAATAACTAAATCGATTTATTTATTTTGTAGTGTTCGTGCGAAGATATATCGGATAAATTAGGTCATAAACTAAAAAATGTACCCGCAGTGTACATATCAAATCCAAAAACATTAGAATTTCAGGTATACATACATATATATGTATTTATATATTTTATTCGAGGAACAATATCGGTATCTTTTTTGAATGATTTTACAGGTTGCACGTACTACTTTGTTACCAGGTTTATTAAAAACATTAGCTGCAAATAAAAAAATGCCGCTTCCTCTTAAATTGTTTGAAGTATCCGATGTAATATTAAAGGATAATATTGTAGAAGTTGGGGCACGAAATAATCGACGTTTGTGTGCAGTGTACTGCAATAAATCGGATGGTTTTGAAACAATACATGGTTTACTGGATAGGATATTACAAGTACTAGAAGTACCATGGAATTCTAACAAAAGTGATAATGGATATTACCTTCGTAATGCCGACGGTAAAGTATCCTGTGATTTTGTGATTTTATTAGAAAAATTATACGTCAACACAGAAGAATACGAACTGTTTAGTTACTTAAAATATAATAGTATCTTTTCTTTATTCTGTATCATTTTTTCAGATCCGATTTTCTTTCCTCGTCGTTGTGCGGAAATATTATGTTACAGCAAGGTAATAGGAAAAATGGGTGTTTTGCATCCAGATGTGCTATCAAAATTTGATCTAAATACACCCTGTTCTGTATTAGAAATTGATATTGAACCATTTTTATAAAATATACACGATAAAGTACTTTCTATTTATCTCATTAATTTTATGTAATAGATTAATAAAAATATAAACAGCTTTTACAATACAATGTATATAAAAAGCACAAAGATCATGTTAAACACGATAAAATTATACTTCATTTCATTTTGCTTAATTGAATTATCCTAAACCCTATTTATATATACATATTTAAAAAAAAATATAAATTAAGATATTTCCGAAGTTTAAAAATGATATTACATATTTAAGTAGTTTTCGTTGTCGTCTCTTTGGGACTTTTTTCCCATATTTAATAGCGTTAAATTTTCAAAGGTATACTTTATCAATCAGTAACATATTTTGTATATGTATGTATATTATCAGATGATTAAAAAAAGGAATGAACGAGTAGAAACGAAAGAAAGATGAATTACATTGTATACCTTAGCTAGGAATGGAAAACTCATAACTGTACAAGAATAAATTGAAAGTACCCGCCACGGAAAACGAAAGATGGCACATCGAATCGTATGAAATCATATAGATGGTTGAAGAGGCATCCGGGAGTCTTACCGTCAGCCATAGTAGAAATGGCGGGTGTTAGCTTACGTGAATGACGGCGATCGTGCTCGAGATTATTATCGAAAAGCAAGTGTTCTGTGTGTGTTTTACGACACGGAAACGATACTTTAGTATCATATGATTCATCTGGAAGGTAAAGATGCAGAATGTAGCACAAGGAACGACCTCGGATAGTCAGAAGCACGAGAAATCAGCAAACATTCACCACGACATTGGAAAGACGTCGTCAACTCCCCAGTCTTCGAACTCCAGTCCAACGAAGTCAGAGACCGAGACCTTCTCTGAACTGCAGCCACGCTTTATGGCAGACTCGTCGGAGAGCGAAGAAGACAGTGTTTCAGAGGTAAACGAAATGAAAAAAAAGAAACATGCCACGTTGTGAATAAGATATTGGTGCGATGAGAAGTTGAGCGCACGCATGTACGCACGCATATGCACCATGCACGCACACGCATGAACTCGTCGCCGCTTCTGTCGTTCGTCCAGTCACCGTCCCCCTCCCAACTTCTTGTTCTTCTTTCTTACATATTGGCTCACTTTTATTTGTCTCCTCTCGTGTATATATTTGTATATATGTATGAATACGTCATGGTGGTGCGTGCGCGTACGCACACGTCACCTTTTCACGAAATCTATTCGAATCGATGTTAATCTTATTTGACATTTTCTAATTTCATTGCATATTTGTTTAATGTAATTTTATTGCAAAACAGATACGGTGACAGTATCTAAATTAAAGTAGTTTTGTTTTCCTGTTAATTTATACAGTTTCTTATAAACGACAGAGAAATTGTTTTTCGATACAAATGATATGACATTATAATGGAATGTGTGTTCGGTAATGGGTAAACAATAATTATAATACAAAAAAAATGAAAAGGAAAAGAAAAACTTATTCAGTGTAAGCAAAACTGATATACAAGATACAAGCTAAAAAAAATTCGTTTGTCTTTTTAAGAAGTTCAAATTCGACTTCGAACATAAGACGTTGATAACAACCAACTAATCGTCTATTTAATCGCTACGAAATGAAACGAATTTTACACGGATACCTTACAAGAAACAAAGGGAACAAGAACGAAAAGGGAATTTGTCAGGAACGTTATATAATTGGAATATATGAGTTTAACAGTTGATAAAATACTAGTATATTGTTTGCTGCGCGTGATCCAACTATACAAAATATCCTCATATTTTTTGTTGAACGTACTTTCCTCGATTCTTCAATCACACTAATCTTATTAGGGTTTGATTTGAATCATTTAAAAAAATCATCGATCGATTGATGTTTTTTGGTTATCAAATAAATTCAAGGTATTCAAGGTAAAAGATACCTTTAAAGAAAGAAAGGAAAGCAGGGAGGAAGGAAGAAAAAGATTGATGTAGGATTTGTTGTATTTCATAGTTTTACGGTGGTACATACATCCATACGTACGTCTACGTAGAAAATGTTGGTTAAAGTACTTGGGTTAGCTGCACTGCATAATCAAGCGCGTGCGCACGCACGTGTACGTTTGTGTATATATTTATACAAGTAGGCGTTTTATATATATATACACATATATATTTTACATATACACATGCATACGCGTCGTATACGTACGTATACTTTTCTCAGTGCACTAGTAAACTGGCATGCAGCACATTCGTCCGCGCGAGCTCTCGCGTGTTGCCTCTTCCTATATAACACATTTGTGTATGTGTGTGGCTATTTTACGTCCGCTTGCACTACGTTGTGCGCCACCCAGCGGAGTTCTCTTCGGCCGCGTTTCTCGTGTATTCGTGCGAGTTCGTGATCCTGCCTTCTTCTCTGCTCGATCGTCTTTATCTTCTTTTCTATACGTCCATAGGTGTATTTCTACCTTTACTGTAACAGTTAACTCATTCTGTGCTACTGTCAACGAGATTTCTGCTTTATCCTTGCCTCTGTTTCTGCCGGTTGGCTTGGCTCTCCTGTGTCGCTCGTGGTCGTGGCGTGGAAATTGTGGAGAGCAGAGCCACCATATTATTCTATATTCTACTAACAACGGTTACACGGAGTTCTTTTTTTTGTGATTTTTTTTTGGTACAGACAATTACATTGGTTGGTGCGACGTGCTCACACGATCGGTGAATACGCGACGAATTTTCTTTCGCGTTGTAGATTCGATAAAACAAACGGAACGCGTAGGTACGCACACAGAGTATACCAAGGAAGTGTCAGTTTCATCCTCCTTGGAATGGCTGCACATTGTTCTTATGTCTGTGTTCACTGGCAGGCGGTTTTAATCGCTTAGGAAAGATAGGATACTTTCACCTCTCTTCTGATTTACGTTTATGTCTCATCGGTTTCCACTCATCGCGCAAGAGGATATGACCTCTACGCGAGATGTACGTACGATGATTTAGATTAAGTAAAAATCTTAACTTGCTTTTACAAACAGTTAAAAGTCTGTAATTGTAAATTTAGAACATACTATAAAGACATCCTTCACCCTATTTTTTTCACTTTGCTACTCATACAGTTTTAATTTACCTATTTTTAATTCTTTTCACGATTTTAACTAATATTTTATTAACAATAACTATTTAACACAGTTTTTTTCTTATTATCTTTATTTCCTTTTGTTTGAACATTATACAATAACCTTAATTAGCAAAATCTGTGTCTTTTCTTTTCCTTTGTGAAACTTTTAATGTAAATCTATATTGATCGAGTACAAGGTTATCTTATTCTATTCAAACGTTTGTATCATTAAATAAAAACAATTTAACATCTTTTTTTAGATGAAGTTTACGATATTTCTATATATTTTCCACAAAGATAAAAGGAAAAGTTATATTTTATTTCTGTGCGTGTTATTTTCAATGTATAGGATCAACAAAATGTAAAATATAAAATATAAAAAGTTTTAAATCCTGTATCTATTGAGATTTATACATGTAAAATCAGAGGCAAATACTCGTGTGTTCTACCAACATATGTTGCGTATGGAAACAAATTAGCTGAACCAATTATTTTATTGTATATTATATATACTTTGTCAAATAAAAAAATACGTTTATCAAAGCGTAGATTATTATATATAAATCATCCATTTAAGATGTAATTTTAGTAGAAGAAATGTTATTCTGTTATAGGTGGAGTGTTTTGCGATTGATCAGGTCGAATTAGACGAAGGTCATCATTTAGAGTCATCTAAGTTTCTATTAACTTCTGAAGATCCTGAAAGATCTGTGGATCCTGAAACTCAGGCACGATTAGAAGCTTTATTGGAAGCAGCTGGTATTGGCAAGTTGTCATCAGGCGATGGGAAGCACTTGGCTGATCACGAAGTGCTCCGTCGCTTAACATCCAGTGTTTCTTGTGCATTAGATGAAGCAGCAGCTGCATTAACTCGTATGCGCAGCGACAATCCACGCACACAAAACGAAAAGCGCTCTCTTGTAGAGGCTTGCAGTGACGGCGACGTTGGTACTGTTAAGAAATTATTAACCGAAGGACGGAGTGTTAACGAAACTACTGAGGAGGGAGAGAGTTTACTCTCTCTCGCTTGCTCTGCTGGTTATTACGAACTTGCTCAGGTGTGAATCTTATTCGACACTTTTGTATGCTCTTAACATTTATAAATAGGGAAGAAAAAAAGAATAAGAAAAAAAAAAAGAAAAAAAGAAAAAAGAAAAAAAGTGTGCACACATTATTCATGTATTCATATTTTTAAAATGTAAAACAAAATGTTATATATTTTCATCGTCATTATTGAAGGGAAAAAAAGATAAGAAAAAAATACAATTAGTATATGCGGAAAGGTATAGGAAATTATTTTATCACCATGGGACAATAAACAATATTCAAAGTAATTAAAATGTAAATAAGACATTGTTTTCTTTATTTATACTTCAATTATTATATTCTTTCGTTTTGTAAAAGTAAAATAAAGTATATAATTGTCCTCTGCTGTCAAAGATAATTTTTAACAATTTAACAGAGTAAAATTTGTTTCGCTTTGTAATTATCTTGTTTTATGAATTAGGTACTTTTAGCAATGAATGCTAACGTAGAAGATCGAGGCATCAAAGGGGATTGTACCCCTTTAATGGAAGCTGCCAGCGCGGGACACGTAGATGTTGTGAGCTTGCTTATTGCTCATGGAGCTGATGTTAATGCTCAATCGACTTCAGGTATGAAATGTAATTAAATTCCTTTAAAATGCAAGTAGAATATGTTGTATCATCATTGATATTATGTTTGACAATCTCGGTAGCGTGTATGGTATTTAAATGAAATGTATGAACTGTGAATCGTAGAAGTGTAATGGATAAATCAAGCTTTACGTGTGTTTAGGTAACACGCCCCTTATATATGGTTGTGCGGGTGGTCACGAAGAGGTAGTGCGAGTATTGTTAGAAGCAGGCGCGAACATAGAAGATCACAACGAGAATGGTCATACACCTTTAATGGAAGCAGCTAGTGCTGGTCA